TATTATGTAAGACAGGAGACGGGGGAAGAAAAGGTATAAGGAGAAAAGGGGAGAGATCCATTGTGATCCATTGTGAATGTACTGAATTTGCAGTAACTGAGATACATCCAGATGCAGACAGCCAGGACTCACGTGGAAAGACTGGTTTAGAGCTCAAGAGAAGCAGGAATAGGAGGGAAGACTCTTGAGTCACAGGTGTAAGTGGCAGCCAAGGTCCTAGGAATGGATGAAGTTTACCTAGAGACTATGAAGAACAGAAAGAAGCCAACAGTGGCCTCCTCTAAGGCAGTGACATGTTCTGGCCTTACCTTCAAGCAGTGTGGCCCTAGCCAAATTGCCTCCCCTCTCTGAGCTTCAGTTCTGTAAAAGCAGAGAGTCAGACTAGATCTCTCAGGCCCTTCTATGATATTCAACCCCCCATGGTTAATAGGACACCTGCTCAGGGCTAGGAAGGAGGCTCCATCCTGAGAAGACACCCTGCATAATACTACATGAGTCCTGGGCTTTCTAGTGGGAGAGACAGACGCATAAATAAGTCCTCTCAATATGCTGTGATTAACAGCTATCATAAAGGCAAGAGCAAAATGCACCGTGAAAGAGTCCTGAGTGGAAGTGCCTGTCAGAGAGAATTGCAGCACAGCCCTCAGAGATGAAATTTGATCTTAGTCTTGAAGAACTAATAGAGACTTCCCAAACAGAGGCAGAGCCATGTGTGAAGGTACAAGAAAGCGAATGCCTTGAAGTACCTGGGGAATGGATCACTCCGTGAGCTTGAGCAGAGAGGAGGTGGAGGGGCCAAGGTGGCCTGCTAAGAAGTTGACCATATGCCAGAACAGATAAGCAGAAATGAATGGGAGCTCTTAAATAATGGGACAACACAATTAGCTGTTTTAGAGAGCTGAGTGGAAAGCAGAAGCCACTACACACCCGAGCTGCTGGTATTTTACAAACCTTTCTCTCTCATCACGATTTGACATCGGATGACCTTATAAGGCTCTTCTTCAACATGCACAAATTTTAAGTTTTTTTTAATAGTAACATAAGTATGATCGTATATTATAACAGAAATGTTAAGCATGGCTAATTATTCATAGCATCACTCAGAAAAGAAGGAGCCAGATTCAGAAGCGAATTTACAACCATCTCATCCTGGAGCAAACCATTACTTGGGAACCAATCTCAAGATGCTCCGGCTTCCTGGGAGGGTCTAAGCCACTCGTAGGACTTGGAAGGAAGTAACCAGACAGCCAGAGGGCTGGACCTTGTCTTGCACCAAATCAGACTTAGGCTGTTCAAATCCTAACAGCACTCTTTTCCCATGATCCGTCCACCTGATTCTTGTTCGCGAGTCCAATGACTTCAATGATATTCTCAGAAGGTCGGACATCTCTTAACTCTTCTCTACAATATCCAGCCTCGCGACCGATACTTTTAAACCATGAGGCCCTCTCTTTCTCTGGCTGCCATCAAGGTCCTCAGATCCTCCCTCTGAGCCTCCCTCCCAGGCTTTCCTTGGCACCCTACTTTACTTTCAAAATCCCCCCTGCTTTGTTCGCCCCACTCCAGAGAGTCCAACAACATTGCCAAGTTCATCTTCCTTTCAAATCATTATTTACTTCTTGAATTTTTGTGAAGAAGGAGATACAGGCAGAATGGAGAGTCAAGAGCTGAGAGCTGTGGCTGCCAGAAACACAGGTGTGAAACCCCACATGGTGGCTCTGTCCTCTGAACCTCCCAACGCCCCCTCCTGGTCCCCAAGGCACTTTCATGTGCTCTCTCCTATCCCACGCCCTCCTGCACTGGCTCACGGTTGCCTTTGTGCACTCTCGCTCACCGCTTGATTCTTTGCATCCGAGACCCCTGAAAACCACACAGGCATCAACCCACAGTAGAGGTACCTCCTGGAGCCCTTCCCAGTGCCTGAGAGGCCAAATGCCTCGGCTCTCCCGTTCCCACCAGAGTGGTCCCCTGACCTCCCACTGCACTTCTCGCCTGACTGGACTGCTTCCTTGCATTTCCCGTCCGCAGCCCAGGCTTCAGAACAGGTGATAGTTTGTAGATCAGACCTTACTTTGATTCCCTCCAGTGCTGCTGCCAGGCCACCAGCAATACCTCAATATGACCTTGTAACTGGTGATCAAGTAAACAACGGCAAAGGTGGCTGTGGATTTTGAGGAGTCAAAAGAAAATGGAAACTCAAGAATGTCAAACATGTCATATTCCGTGAGAGGTTTCAGCTCTCACTTAATGTATGTGGATAAACATTCTCTTCACAATGGGCAGAGAAATCCAAATATGGAAACTTCGATTGCTACCCTATCTGTACAAGGCAGAGGCCCTGTTGTCCTGGTTTCCTCAGAGAGATTTTTCAGGACAGAAGATATGTTCTAGAAACGCAGATTCAAACCATGCAAAGCAATATTTATCATCCTGCTCCTCTGCCCTTCTCCACCCTACAATTGCCAAACTGGATCATATGCATTATTCAATGACTTAAAACCTCTCTGGGCTCCATTTGGCTTTCCTGTACCCACTTAAGGCACAGAGTCACTGTCAGAAGTCAAAGCTCATTAGCACAGGAACCTAAATTTAATGCCCTTGAGATACACAGTGCAGCTCTAGACAAGGCCTTCTTGGCTCTGATTAATTCATCATGACTTCTGGGTTCGCACAGGACAGGTCTCGAAGACTCAGTGTCATATTGGCTATGAAAAGGCACCTGGCTGAAGGAAGGGTCCCAAAAGTGCATGAGTGAAACTTGGCCCATGCAGAAGAATTTCCAGGACTCATCAAAGACATTCAGATACACCGGTGGGATCTGGATCTGAGAATGACCCAGCCACTTGGAGTGTAGTGTGAAGGCAAGGAATGAAAAGGGAAATGCAAGAGCACAGTGGAGGCCTTCTGGAGGTGACCTTGGTCTTCCTCAGAATCAAGCACTGTTAGGTCCAGGCAGTACTCACTCCAATGGCCTCATTATACCAAAAGAAGAGAGATCCAGAGAGGGAAAATGAGTCTGTGAAAGTCCTGTTACAGTTCTGAAAATAAAGCCTCAATAAGCCTTCCTCCTTGCGTACTTCTCCCCTCTCGCTGTCCGTGGGAGGTCCATATCCTTCCAGGCACCAGCACGAAGACTGAGGAGTAGCGCATCCAGAGGGCAGGGGCAGGCAAAAGGCATTGCCCTTCACAAGCACTAGGAAAGCCAAGTTCATTCTGGTACCCCATCTGCCACACGCCATCCTAGCTCCTACAGACCTGCTTTCATGAGAGCCCAGATGGTCACAAACACTTGTCCTGGCTGGGCTAAGGGGACAAAGAGCATTATTAGGGGGTTGGAGTGGAAATTTTGGGCATTCTTCAGGGTAATGTATGAGTGCCTGATACTAAGCTTGTACCCTTCTATCTTATCCCAAAACACATATGCACGCACACATGGGCATGTGCACGCATGCACACATGCACATACTCTTTTCCTCTGGACCAAAAAAAGACAGGGTCATGTAAAGGAGTGCCTCTCCAGCTTCATGAGCACAGGAAGCACAGAGATCTTGAAATGAGATCCAGGAGGTCTGGGACAGAGCCTGAGGTTCCATTCCACTATCTCCCTCCCAGGGACACTGCGCTGCTGTCCTGAGGCCCATATACTGAGTAGCCAGAGGCAGATGTTACACAATCTTGGAATCAAACACCTCTGGATTTGTTAAATTCTAGTTCCACTATTTAGGAGCTTTTGATTCCTGGACTGGTTTCCTAACTTCACACTGCCTCAACCGCCTCATCTCTAAAATGGAAATAAGAATACCACAGAAGCATTTCATGCTGATTACGTAAGTTAATGAGGTGAAGCTTTTAACACAGTGTCTGGTATAGTATAAGAAGGGCGTGATAAATGTCAGTTGCTGGCTGCCTCTAAGATCCACAAGGGCGGGGGCAACACCTGTCTGGCTCACTGCCAAAATCCCAGGGGCTAGGATGTTGTCGGTGCTCAATGGATGCTGGTCAATGAATAAACGTATCTATAACACGCCCACACAGAAGCTCAGTATTTACACACTCCCTTGGTTCTATGGCTCTCTGCAGGAAAACATATAACATTTAGAATCCCGGAACACTCTCACCAGTAACAAACCATCATCTCATACAAAGAAATTGTACTTTAACCACCACGTATAACTACCACTGAGAAACACATCATTTGTGATGGCCATATATACTTGAGAAAATACCGTCACTGTAAACAGATAAAGACAACATCAGTCAGGAATCTGAAGATCATTAAGAGAGATTGCTGCGTTGCTCGTTATTTATGTGGCTGTCTGAAAGCAGATATTATGATAACCTTAATTCTAAAACGAAGTTCACTTCCCAACCAAATGTAGAATTTTAAGGAGAGACAAAACAAACCATGGGAAGCAAGAGTACTTTTTAAACAGCCACGGGGGCAGTAGTATATTCTCTTACACAGGCCCAAACTTGCCCAGGAAAAATTAGAAACAAAAGAACTGCTATCAAATGGTAGAGCTTTATCTTTTCCATCAAAGGCAGACAAATGAGTAAATACAAAATTCTTCCACAATCTCAGATCATCTTCAGACATCTCGTAAAGTAAGTGGCATCATTCAAACAGATTCCATTTCAGGGAGGCACAGTGCAAAGCAAGTAGCAAGAAGGGAATACGATTGCCACCTACAGACAGAACTGGCACTCCCTTTGCAAGAGCTGGCCAATCATATTTTAAGGTGGAAAAAAAAAATTCAACCAAGTCACCTCCCTCCAACCTCTTCCAAACCACCACACCACATTACTTCATTTAGAATTACTTTCAAGTCATACAATCATCTCTAGGCATTCTGCCTCTTCATTATCATCATCCTATTTCTAATTTCCCAGAAACTCTGCGCCATTCAACGTCTTATACACTATTTGAGAGCCAAAGAGAATGCAAGCCAACGCATTTCAAGCAGGCAAGAGCCCCAGAGTGGAAGTATAAATCTGCTTACCTGGTATGAAGGGGACCACCCGGAATATATCAGACAATCTGCTGTTAACTGGTTCATATGGGGAATCTTCAAGCAGATCATTTCCTGCAAACAGAAGAAAGATTGGGCTCAGAGAAGGAACACAGACATATTTCAGGCAGTTTTTGTTACCGAAAGTGAATTCTAATTATGTTATGATTGGGTAGCAAAAAGATGCTGAAACTTTCAAAGACTTCAAAATGCCTCTATCTGGCGAAGGTTGTTTTCCTTTGCTCGGCCTTTGTTGTCCTTGCTCTCCCCAGAGTGCCATGAAAACACTGGAGAACAACCCAGCTCGATCTTGCCAGAAAACTCTCCTACTTTTGCAAAGGAATGAAATCAGAGAGAAAGAAACTACTGCTATCACATGCCCAGCTTGCCTTCAGGAGCCAACTGGAGAAAGATGACTCCAACGAAGCCCCCATTCCTTTCTTCCCAAAACATGGTATGTGGTCAGGAAGCAGGCACCCTGGCTGTCTTTGAAACAGGTTTTCATGAGAGGTTCTGGCGGAAGTGGCTCCTGATAGGCCAATTCTATTCATTACAAATTTTTGGTGTGAGTCTCCGGGGACAGTGAGTGCACTGGGTGCTTGTGTTAGATTTACAAGCAAGAGCTGCATCTGTCTCACAAGGACCAAAAAACTGCCATGGGACTGGGTGATTGTGACAAGTGGACCTTTCTTCTCCGAGCCTCTTCTGTGTTAACCAAGGCTGAACCACACCAGCTGGTTCAAGACTCAGTTAATCTAACATGACAAATGGTTTTTCCCACAGCAGCCTTTGATCAGGTTTGAGGGGCACAAAGATAGAATAGATTCTACTGGGCCTTTAATGCTTAATTCTTTATCTCATGTCAGAATGGATGGAAGGACAGAATAAAGGGAGAAACTCCAGGCAGGACGCAGTGCAAGTCTTTGTATTATTATTCTGCCGGGCCTGCTCTCCTTACAGAGAAGGTGCCAGTCCTCGGGTGGCCTTTAATGGGTTCCCACTCCATGCTCTGACCAGGTTTCAAAGAGGTCAGCAGGGTCCGGGGGTGTTCCCCTCACCCCCTTGTGGGTTTTCCAACAACCAGGCCCAACAATGCAGCTGGGGAGGCAGCAAACACCAGCTGCTGCTGTCCCTGGGGGCCAATGAAAGGTCCTCATTCTGCAGCTGGGGAGAAGTGAGTGGAGGATGAGGTCAGCCAGCCCGGGGGCGAGGGCCCCGCCTGCCTAGGGAGCGGGAGAGGGAGCGAGGACAGTGGGCGCGTACCCTGCAGGCTCTGGTACATGCTCCAGTAGATGCGCAGGCAGTTCTTCTCCTTCTTCATACCCCGCTTGCAGCGGCAGTTGTAGAGTGACTTCTGTTTGAGGGCCTCCATGGCGCTGCGGCACTCGTCCTTGGCCTCCAGGCCGGACGTCAGGCTGAAGTTGGTCTCCTTGCCCGCCACGCACTGCCTCAGCGTGCGGTACTTGGTGCTGCAGCTCTGCTCCTTCAGGCACTGGTCGCTGGCTTTCACGCAGTCCAGGCGGTCCCCGCCACTCACCTCCGCCGACAGGAGCACGTCTGCGGGGGAAAGGGAGGGAGCGTGAGTGCGGCTGGGCAGGGGCCAGCTGCTCCTACCCCCGGGAAGGGCGCGTGCTTGTCTAGGCTCCTGGGGCGACCTGTGCAGGGAGCGCCCCCCACATCCACACACACACATTACATCCGCGATTCCATTTCCCGCCCTGGGACCTCCTGCCGCCACGGTCTCCCCCACCCCCAAGCCCCTGAGGTGTACGGACTTGTCCGGGTTTCCCACCGAGCTAGCGCTGCGCACCGTGCCTGCCAACCGCGCAGCCCCAGGCCAGACCTGCCAGAGCCCCGGGCTCCAGCATCCCGCTCGGCCCGGCCCTGAAGCCCGGGGACTTGCAGAAGAGGAGAGCGGCGGCGGGCCGGCCACTGGGCGCACGCGGGGCGAGCCCTGGTCCGCGGCCCGCCCGGTGGGGAGCATCGGGGTGGCTACTCGGGGAAAAGTTTTCCCTTCCAAGTTTGTCTTCTGGCCCAATGCTCACCCACACCCCACCTGCCCGCCGCACCTCCGCCAGCTCCCCGGGACTCGCTCGGGGTGCCAGGTCCCCAGGATGGAGGAGGGCTCGCACTCCTTTATTTCCACAGGTTAGGTCATTAAAAACCACAGGAAATAAAAGCCAAGCACGAAGGCTGCAGTCAAGCGCGCATCGACACCGCTTCCCCAGCCTGAGGTGCTAAGGATTCATGATCCCCTTCCCTAAAACGAAACTTCTCCCTCCCACACCCACCGCACCGCGCCGCGAGGACTCCTCGAAAAGACTCCGCGGATAAGAAACCGAGCGGCAGCCTCGACTTACCCAGAAGAGGCAGCGCGAAGTAGAGAGTCGCTAGGAACATGGTGCCGGCGCGCAGTTGGTCCCCACCCCCCAAAAAAACCCCGAGCCGCTGCTGGGTCTGGCCGAGGGAACTCAGCATGCAGCGATCCCTGGACGGCCGCGCTGCTCTGGCCGCCCAAAGTTCAGCTCCATCCAGTACGAAAGGAAACTCCGGTGTCCGTCTGCCGCCACAGCCGCGGGCGACTCAGCTCCAGGCAGGCGGCTAGCGCAAGAGCGGGAGGCGGTTCCGCTTTTAGGGGTTCAGGTCCGACCCAACCTGGAAGGGAGAGCGGGCTTTGAAATGAGAGCCCAGAGGGCTGGAGCCTCCCCTGCCCCTCTGCCCTCCTCCGCTCCCTCCTTGGAGTACTTTCCAGAGCCCGGGCGAGGGCCCACCCCTAGCCGAGTCTGGGCGCGGGGCGGGGGCACGGGGTGTGCGTGTGCCTATATTCCGCGGAGCCGCCTGCACCCACAGAGGGGGCTGGAGAGGTCAGACGCGGGCGCCCAAAGTCCAAGGGGGTGTCTATCTTGTCCAACCCAAGAGGCTGAACGCAAGCAAATAAATAAATAACGTTACTTTCCAAGCGCTGAGAGCGGAGCCGGCGGCTGCCTGGAGTGGAAGCACTCAGCGGCGGCGGCGGCTCTCTCGCCAGCCCTGGCGCGGAAAGAGCCCCTTCTCCCGGGAAGTTCGCCGCCCCCTTCTTGCGCCAGCTCGCTGGCTCAGCGGCCAGTCCTCCCCACCCAAACCACCAATCGCTGCCCCCCATCACCGTATCCCCTCCTCCCCGGCTCGCTTTCTTTCACAGGCAGCCGGGCGAGGGGGAACAGACGTCCCAGCTCGAGCTGAAACCCGGCTGATGCGCCCCTACCCTCCGCGCGTCGTCGGCTCCCTCCCCAACGTCCTCGCTGCTCACACACAAGCCCAGCGCCCCGGACTCGGGCGCTTCAGTGCCACCAGCCTGGGCAAGCGCACCGCCCTGCAGCCCCCGAGCGCCAGGGCAGGTGCAGCCTCGAGCGAGTCCCCGGTCCCCGAAGTTAAGGGGCGCTCGCAAGAGGGGAAGAGGTGTGTGGGGAAGCAGCAATAGGTTCCCAAATCTACAGGATGAGAAAACTCTCTCCAAATGCCACCAACCTGGACTCAACCGACCGTGTCCAGCTGCAACGAGGAACCAGTTTGTTTATTTATTTATTTTAGGGGGTGTCCCCGCCCCCTCCTTCCCTTTCCTGGCTCATTTGTCTGCGCGAGGAAGAAAGATGCGGTAATCTTGGAGAGCTTGGCGGATCTAGTTGGGCCAGGACGGTTTCCGAGCAGAGCCCCCTAGGGCTCAGAGGCTGGTTAGGGATGTGAGTGGTTCCTGGGAGCTGAGCGGAAGATAGATGGTTCGGAGACCAGGAGCCCCTGGGCCTGCGGCTGCCCTCTCCGAACCGCAGCACGTTGCCAGCCCCCTCGGATACTCGCCGGTCAGGAATGCCGCAGATGAACACGCTCGCGTGCGGCGAGACGGGCCCGGGGCAGACCCAGCACGCGCTCACAGGACACGCAGAGCTACGCAGCCGGCCGCGAGCGCTCGCTAGCTCTCTTTCTCTCTCGACACAAAAGGGCACCAGGCACCAGGACTCTTAAGCCCTACCGCAATCAACCCAGACCTTTCTTCCGGATACAAAGTTTTTTCTCCACGTCACTCGCGGCTGTGACTCAAGACTTGGCGCGTTAAAGACACACTCAGACCCAGACCCTCCGAGCTGAGATTGCTGGTTGCGCCCACTCACTCCTCCACGCCAACGCACACACATACTCACACATGCACACACAGTCTCTACCTCCGTCCTAGAGCTTGAACGTGGAGACAAAAGCGGAACCCAGTGCATTTAAACCGCGCCAGACCTGGCTTTGGGTATTATAGATAAGCGGACTTCCATTTTGGCTGTTTCGAGAGTAAATTTTAAAATAACAAATTTAAAAGCTCAACATATACATAATCCTTCACCTCAATCCCTAGGACCTCTCGTTCTCAGCCGAGCGGCTGACCACCCCCCTAGCCCGCCCTGAACACTAGCTCCCCTCCGGGCACGCCCATGGGCGCCAGGACTACGAGGTCTACACTGGGTCTAGACAAGAGTCTGGAGAGCAGCATGCAGTGGTGAATGGCAGGCATGCCGCTCAGGGCTTGTATTTGGGATCCTTGCTGATGTCCAAGTTCATATCTCTGGGAAAGCGAGTTTGAATCAAGTCTGGGTGAGCGCAGCTGTCAAATCTGCAAACCCATCACACCAGACAATGGGCTGCAGAGGAAAGGGGGGCGGGGGGGGAGAAGAAGAAGAACCGCTCATTTTGATCGAGGAGGGTTAATTGAAAAGGGCATGGGCTTTGGTTGAAGTTTGAGGCCGGGGTGTGAGGGCGGGGAGGAAAGGAGGAGGAAAGAGGAGGGGTTCATAGTTCTCCATTCAACTACGTATCAGCCAGGCGCGCCCCTCAGCTGCAGAAGCGGCTCCGAGGCGTGCAGTGCATTGTTTGGAATGTGTCTGCGCCTCGGTGCGCGCCCCAAACCCCGGGGACACCCGAGGAGCTGCGCTCTTGTGCACGTGTTCCTCGGAGGCCATTGATTCCCTCATCAAGCAACCCCCTCCACACACACACACACACACACACACACACACACACACACACCCGCACCGCGCACGGATTTTTCTTTCAGTGTATCAGTTTACACTTGGTTGTTGAGTAAACAAAGCAAACATATGCCACATTTTCTCGACAGATGGTTCAAACCAAGGGCTACTTAAGTTCTCTTTCTCTATCAGTGCTAACAGTGTAAATTACAGGGTGGACTAAGCAGAAATGTAATTAAATCTTTCAATCAATTTCTTCACCTTAAATAAGTTTATTCCCAAATTTTCACATACAAACCAGAGAAATCCTAGGGAGGTGGTTTTAGTGAAAGAAGTGCCAAGGTAAGAGTTTATCTGAAAACTATTTCTTCATGGACAACCAAAACATAAATCCTTCTTTCATCGTTCTATTTTATACGTGAAGGTGAGTGCCTCCCTTAGGAAAATTAGCAATTGGAATTCCAATTTTTAATGGATAGACTAGTGTCTGTCATCACTGAACACATGATTTAATGAAACAAGATTGCATTTAAGGACATCATCGACATCTTTTGTAAGTGTTCTTTGTTTAGAAATGACTCTATGCTACCACAATATTCCACAGGCATCTTTTAAATCAAAATTAAACACGGTGGGGGGAAGGGTGGAATAAAAGTTTTCCAAATATAAAATTTGAGACTTCTCTTAAAATATTTACCATTCACACAAACTAGTCCTCATTAAGTTCTTACTGATGATGAAAACGGAGTTTTATTTTTTTTGAAATTTTTAAAAATAAACCATCAGCCACTCTAACAGTGTTGTCCAATACAATAGTCACCAGCCACAGGGCTATTTCAATGAAAATTAATTCAAATTAAAGAAAAGAGAAATGCAGCTCCTCAGTAGCACTCATTACGTTTCAAGTGCTCAGCCGCCACATGTGGCTAGTGGCTTCCATATTGCACAGCACTGCTATAGAATATTTCCATCATCGCAGGAGATTTCTATCTTCCGAGAGCTGCATACAAAAAAAAAAAAAAATGGCCCATACTCTATCTTAAGACTCCTTATAGTAGGAGCTAATAAAAAAAAAAAAATCACTGCTTTCCAACTATGTCTGCTATCTTTTAATGGTGGAAGAAACATATAGCTGAAAGGCCTTGGAATATGGCAGATAAAAGTGTGGTGTGACTTGCTGTATTAATATGATCTCTGTTTCCTTGGAGCTTATCTGTTCCCATGTGCACAGGATTGATCTCAGGATAAAAGGTGACGCTGAAATATCAAATATTATTAATAATTATAAAAACCCATGCCATCTTCTGTGACATGTTTTCTTGGTAGGAAATTGGTTTTAATGCTTCAAAGTTAGGTTCAACCCATCCGCGAACATGTGAAGGGAGTGGTTTTCTTATACTTCTTGATGTAAGCGCATTTTCATAAGTTAACGGATGAGTCATGGCGAGGGCGGCAGTTTTACACCGTGCAATATTTTGTTTCCTACTCTCATTGCCTTGGCCCTACAGACTAGAATGTAAAATACATTCATTTTGTAAAATTATATGGCTCAAAAATCACTCAGGTTTCTTTAACTCAAACTAGTTCATCAAAGTATTTGATGCTCCACAGTGTGACAAACTTACCTCTGTAGCTACACAAAACCGCCCACTATTACCTAAGAGTGCCGAACTTTTTTTTCCGCTGCTCCTCCTTCTTTGATCATGCCGTTCCATCTGCCTAATATGCGCTTCATCCTGATATTTGAAGATCCGGCTGAGCTCTAATGAGCCACTAAGGACAGCAAAAACTCCTTGTTGGAAGGAATAGCTCTCTCTGTATTGGACTCTCATGGCCCTGCTAGCATCTTCACTACAGCTGTGTCACACTGCATTGCCGCTACTTGCCACATCTGTCCCTTCAACTGGAATGTGAGTTCCTTGAAGGCAGGAAATGTTCTATTCTGTTTTCTTTTTCTGCATCCTTAGCATTTAGACTGACGACTGATAGAACAGTCACCCCGATAAATGTATACTGATTGCCTGAATAATGAGCAATGATGTTTCTCACTTTCCCCTGACAGAATAATTCTGCTGAAAGGTTTACATAAAATCTCTTTGCTGTATGAACAATACTAAATATAAGTACCTCATGCAATTACTGGTATTGCTGTTCCAACAGTACTATCAAATATGTATTATTCCTCTGGGGGTTTGACATGTACTTTTTTTAAACAAACCCATTATTGTAATAGAATGCTCTTTTTCTGGTTCACTTTAATAGTAACACATGACATATTTCATTTCTGGGAAATGATAGCTTGCGTTAGGTCATATTTTAAGGCATAAAGCCAGAGGCAGAGTAACATTCCCACCTAAGGTTCTCTAGTCATCTAGAAACGCGCCTCTCTCTAGGAGAGAAAGGATTTAGAAGGGCCAGATTACAACTACCCTGGAGCCTTTGTCCTCAAAGGCAAATTTTTTAAAACCCAATTTGACTCAAGAGTGTTAAAAATTCTTTTATAAACATAAAAGACCTGGTGCAATCTTTTAGGAAAATAAGAAAATGGTAGACCATCCAACCCTGCGATGCAAACATG